AGGCGCGCGGGGCGCGGCGGGGGCGGAGGGGCGGGCCAACGGCGGCAGGGCGAGGGGGCGGGGCCGGGGAGGAGGCGGTCTCACGTGACGGCCCCCGGCGGCCGTTGAGGGGTGTGGCGGGCGGGAAGGGCCGTTGCCCGCGAGGGGAGGGCGGGCGGCGCGGGGGGCCCGGGTGCTCTCGGGGCGCCGCCATGGGCGGGCAGCGTGTCCGCGGGCGGTGACATCGCCAAGGAGACACTCGGGACTTGTGAGTCACCCTGTCAGAGCCGTGACGTCCATCTGAGAAATGTCAGCAGCCACGAAAGGGGGTGGTTCATYTCCCTGCGTCTCTCTGTGCATGAAGCAGGAATATTTAATAAACTTTAAAAAAAGAGAAAGATATGGATTCTCTTTTGTGTTACTACATGTTGGTAACTAGTGCTGCAAGAAAAACGGCTAGTGTTGCAAGACCAATGGCAGAATTGCAAAAGCCGATAATGCTGACTAAAGCAAGCAATAAGTTAACTAGGGAAATGTTGCAGCAAAGTGGCCTCCTCAGTCTCTAGGGAATAGATTTTTCTTTGTCCCAACTCCCCATTAGCAGTAGCTGTCAAAACTCATGGTATTTTGCAGGCACTAGTGTCCGATAAGCAGGATCTGACTGCTGCTGCTTAGTGATATTTTATGTGACATCTGATTCAGCTCTTCTGACAGGCCTTTCTTCTTGTTTTAATACTTCAGCGAGTATGCAGGAGCCGTGGCATGGATGCTGGCAATGCCACCTACTAATGCATAGTAGATGGCAAGTGACTTAATTGCAGCCTGTAATTAACTACACAGGAGTTTAGTTTTGGTAGCAGAACACCCCTGAGCCCAGCAGGCAAAGAAACAGCAAGATGCAAAACCTGAAACCAGGAAAATAGGATTCAGAAATAAGATCCATAGTTTTAAGAGTGAGAGTAAATGAGCACTGGGATCACCTACTAAGTGTTATGGAAATTTATTAATTACTCTAAAGTTTTATAACAAAGACTGCTATTTTTCCCCCCTAAAACTTCAAGTTTGTTTCAAAGACTATTTTGACCAAAAGGCTTTCCGTAGGCGATAAGAGAACAATGCAAAGTAGATTATATGGGAAAATCACAGAGACTTTTTCTGGCTTTGTAAGAGAACCTTTCATCTCTACCTGCTAAAAGCTGCCACACAGAGCGCCACAGGCAACTTGTGCTTTTCTACATTTTTTTTCCAAAGCCACAGGAAGTAACCGTTTGACACAGTTGACTTTAAAAGTGTATGTAAGATCAGGGCATCTCCATATAAATGAGGAATTAAGAACTGGGACTTGATCTCATAGGACCTTAGTTAAGTCTAAACTTGTTAATATAGGTCCTAGAAAAAGTATGTTTTCTCTTATGCACTCTTATTACACAACTGTATATTTTGTGTACAAATTGTGCACAACTGTAACTATGCCTACACTTGTGCGTATTCTACGCTCAATAAAATGTGCAATACAGTGTTTTGAACTTATTTTAACTCCAGATAGACGTAGCTCTATTGTGAGGAGAGCCTGAAGCCTCTAGGCATCCAGAGAGGGAGGTAGCAATGCCCTGACTGATGTTTGTACATGAAATACTACCCCACCCATGTAAAATTTATAAAGATCATGGAGTTACAGAAGCTTTCTCCGAGGTACAACTCATCATTTGCTTGGGTTTGTGGCAGTGTCTGTGTGTCACAGATCTGGAAAGCGAATGATTGGGAGGGGATGAAAGGGAGCCTAGCTATGCCATTTCCCTAATGCGAAGCCATCACTCAAGCAGGTGTGTCAAGAAGAATCTAGCAGAAATTGTATAACAAAATGTATAGAGTCAGAGAGCAGTTCATCAGACAACAGTGTATTCTTTATTCATTGACATTTCTTATTCATTTCAGTGTTTGAAGAGAACACTCTTTTCCTGTGGTATTTGGTTTTTGATACAGGAAAGCTGTTATTTGCAGAGTTACTAGTGGGCTCTGTTCCAAGGAAGTTGTTTGTAGGGGAGGGC